AAAAAAAAAAAAAAAAAAAAAAAAGAAAGAAAAAGAAATGACCAAGTGTGTCATAGCCCAGGGAAAAAAAAAAAAAAAAAAAAGACTGGCTCCTGGCCTCCTCTGTGGCTCCTCCGAAGTGAAGGGCTCTGCAGGGGGCAGTGGCATCTGGATAGGAGACATCCCTACCCCACCGTGGAAAAAAAAAAAAAAAAAAAAGCAGCGGCGGGCCCCATGCAACCTACCTGCATGCCGCAGATGCGCACACCCAGGCAGGCTGAGGTGCTCTGCGCACACTTCCTCATGTGGCGGGCCTAAAAAAAAAAAAAAAAAAAATCGCCATGCTGCCGGGTCCCCATCTTCAGATCCAGGACAAAAAAAAAAAAAAAAAAAGACACTACATTTTCCAGCAACAAGAACCCTAGTCACACCAAAAAAAAAAAAAAAAAAAGGACTTCAGAGCGACTGTTCCGCCACAGGCCGTTTGCATGCCTCAGAAGCTGCCTGGAAATTCCCTATTCTGGGCACCATTCTTCACTCCCATTGCCAAAAAAAAAAAAAAAAAAATCCTTGCTATTAAGAATTCAAAGTATTAGCTTTGCAGGCAAAAAAAAAAAAAAAAAAAATTTAGGGGGAGTTTATGAGTATGTGAGCTTTTTTTCCTAAAAAAAAAAAAAAAAAAATTGAAATTTAAATGCAAGCGTGAAATCCCTGGCAGGCCAAAAAAAAAAAAAAAAAAAAGGCAGAAAATCATAAGGCTAAAACCTCCAGTCCTGCTGAAAAAAAAAAAAAAAAAAAAGAAAAGTGGGTTGATGTTAGCTTTGGAGATGAGTTGCAGAAAAAAAAAAAAAAAAAAAGTAATTATCCTGCAAAAGCTTCTTAGGGATTATGATTGCAAAAAAAAAAAAAAAAAAACTATGAAACCAGCCACCCATTTGCAGGAAGGAGCACAGCAAAAAAAAAAAAAAAAAAATTCAATTTCGGAGAAATTGAAATTTCCTAAATTTTCTCCAAAAAAAAAAAAAAAAAAAGCTCTTACCTCATCCCATAGCCCACCCCATGGACACTCCAAAAAAAAAAAAAAAAAAATTCCCTCTCACTGTGTGGGCCCCATGGGAAGACGCCTGCAGGTAGAATTTGGTGGGATGGAAGGGAGGTTGGGGCTGGGGACTCATCCAGCTCTCTGAAAAAAAAAAAAAAAAAAACCAATATGGCATTCATCATTCCTGTCTGACCACAGACACAAAAAAAAAAAAAAAAAAATACTGCCAAGTGGCAAAGACACAGCCAGGGCCCCCCGAGAAAAAAAAAAAAAAAAAAATTCCATCTGCCTTCCCCATACTGTCTAGTTGCTCTTTTGAAAAAAAAAAAAAAAAAAAAGGACCTGGGTTTGAGGGCTTGTGCCTTCCAGCTGTCCCAAAAAAAAAAAAAAAAAAACCCACCCTCCGCTGGCCCCGTGTTTGTGTGTGTTTCCTCTACTCACCTCTGCCCCTCTGTGTCTCTCTATCCCCCCGCCCTTGGGACTACACGTGAGAAAAAAAAAAAAAAAAAAATGCCGCTTGTTCTCTGGGTACTCGGAGCACAGGCGGGTCAAAAAAAAAAAAAAAAAAAGCAGGCCCCATGGGTTGAAGCTCTTCCTCTCCACCTGGTAAAAAAAAAAAAAAAAAAACAGCGAGGAGGCTGGAGCGTTGAGGTGGGTCTCGGACCTAAAAAAAAAAAAAAAAAAACTGCGGCGGAGGGGAGCACAGGACAGTCAGAGCAGAGGTAAAAAAAAAAAAAAAAAAATGGCTGACTGGGCTCTTTGAGATGGGCTCTGACAGGGTGAAAAAAAAAAAAAAAAAAAGTGGCCCTCATCAGGCTGGGGCACCCTCCCTGCCCAACTCAGGTCCTGGGGCCAGATTTCACCACACTGCAGCCCTCAAGTGGCTTCTCCAAACCCTAAAAAAAAAAAAAAAAAAAGTTGCCCCCTCAGAGGACTGAGGTGATTTGAACTCACTTAAAAAAAAAAAAAAAAAAAAATGGTCTTACTATTGAGGCGACACACTAAGGGGGCAGTAAAAAAAAAAAAAAAAAAAAGCCTGGGGTTGGACTCTGATAATCCAGCAGGCAGGCCAAAAAAAAAAAAAAAAAAAAGAAGGGCACGGGAGTGGGGTGGGGGCTGCGGGGAGTGCGGACAGTGGCAGGTCCTTTCCTCCTGCCCTCTGGGCATCTTGGTGTGGCCATCTGTGAAAAAAAAAAAAAAAAAAAAATTCCTGACTCCAAGCCCAGAGGCTTAATGAGATCTGTGGAAAAAAAAAAAAAAAAAAACATTTTCATTGTATTAGCTCCCTTTTGTTTCCCATAAATGTTTTAAAAAGCCCCAGGGAGCCTTTTCACCTGAGAAAGGTCAGCTGACATTGTCAAAAAAAAAAAAAAAAAAAAAAGGCACCTGAGCCTCCTGCATCTCCAGGGACCCTCTGAGCATGACATTGACCTCCCTTCTGGCCCCTTCCAACTGCTAGGGAAAGAGATGATTTCTGAAAAAAAAAAAAAAAAAAAATCCTCTACATACACTATTCTAGGGTTTCTGTTCTGTACAAAAAAAAAAAAAAAAAAAATCATGGTCTCAGTGAATCAGGTATTTAATTAAACAAATATGTACCGGATACCTACTCAGTAGAGAACTCTGCCTGTGCTTCAACTTCTGAGATAAAAAAAAAAAAAAAAAAAAAAACTAGGAGTGGCATAAAGAAAATCCATTCCTTTCTTTGGTAAAAAAAAAAAAAAAAAAAAGAGCATTCATCTGAATTTCTCATTTTCTCAGCACCAGCAAAAAAAAAAAAAAAAAAACCTTGGGCACAGGTGGGAGCAGTGCCGGTCCCTGCCAAGAAAAAAAAAAAAAAAAAAACTGCCCAGTGGCCTCACCTCTCCTTGGGTGAGCGTGCCAGCTGGGCATGCGGCCACTGGGCAAGGGCGCAGGCGCTGCCACTGCTGCCGGTGGTCTGAAAAAAAAAAAAAAAAAAAGCCATTGCCGCCGACTCTGTGGAGACCTTGAAGGGCTCCAAAAAAAAAAAAAAAAAAATGGCAACCAAGCTGAGATGGCCTGTGCTGTCTTTCCAGAGGTGCACTGTGATGGTGCCTGCAAACACACAGGGAAGGGGAGGGGAGGAGCCAGGTGAGAGGGCCACCATGCGGATATGCAGGAGCGATGACAGGTTGGGAATTTAGCTTAATGGTAAAAAAAAAAAAAAAAAAATCCCCAGCTCCTCTCTCAAGGAAGAGCTCTGGGACTGGCCTGGTTTTGCCTGGTTTCGCTGTCCCAGAATGAGCCCCAGAGCTTGGAGAAAGTAGCCAAAAAAAAAAAAAAAAAAATCCTCCGCTTTATCGCACTTCCCTGCCCCTTTGCGCTTTAAAAAAAAAAAAAAAAAAACATTTTGTCCTCGTATTCCAGTTCCTCTGTGCACAGTCGAAAAAAAAAAAAAAAAAAAAGCCAAGCCAGCTCTGCCTGACCTGGGGGCATTGGAGCTAAAAAAAAAAAAAAAAAAATCCCACCTCAGAGTGCCAGTGAGGGAAGTTGGGCCCATCCTATCCCTCCTCTGTGCCCTCTGCCTCCTGATGACCCTTCCTCTCCCTCCTATGTATCAAAAAAAAAAAAAAAAAAACCAGGAAGCCTTCCTCTCACAGCCTTCCAGGGCTCGGGGCTCCCTGTCGCCCCTTCACTCGCCCTCCCCGCTTCTGTCTGCCCTTGAGCTGATGGCCAAAAAAAAAAAAAAAAAAAACGTATCTGCACATGAAGATTATTGGTGGAACATGGTTCAAAAAAAAAAAAAAAAAAATGAGGTTTCCCCAACTGTGTTACATCCTACCATCGGTGTAAAAAAAAAAAAAAAAAAAAAACACTGGTTGTGAAAGTGAAGAGTGTCTGAAATACCTAAAAAAAAAAAAAAAAAAAGCATCCTCCTGGGCATTGGCCAGGCTTGGGTAATTAGCTAAAAAAAAAAAAAAAAAAACTCTGCGGCCACCCTTTAGTGTCCTCCCTCTGGTGGTGACAGAGCCCAGGCCTTCCTCCGTGGAGTTTGGCTTCCGGTGGTGCCTGGCCTCGCCAGAAAAAAAAAAAAAAAAAAAAAGATGGCCACCCTTGTGGTTTTGGGAGAAGCAGAGGTGAAAAAAAAAAAAAAAAAAAATGCAGCTGATGCGCTCATCCTCTCTGCGCCTGCCGTCACAAAAAAAAAAAAAAAAAAACTGTCCTGCTATATGCTGAAGGAGTGACCTGATGGAGTAAAAAAAAAAAAAAAAAAAACTCCAGTTTCCCAGTGGATTTGCCAGTGGGGGGCACTGGAAAAAAAAAAAAAAAAAAAAGGAGAAAGGTTGGGCATTTATTCCACTGGTTCCTACCCAAAAAAAAAAAAAAAAAAACCTGCTGTGTTCCTCTGTGGCCCTCCTGGCCTGGGGTGGAAAAAAAAAAAAAAAAAAAATGGTCTCTGGGTCCCCCCAGTCCCTGGTTGTTCCCCTGAAAAAAAAAAAAAAAAAAACAAACAGTTCCTTTTTTTTTTTTTTTTTTTGAGACGGAGAAAAAAAAAAAAAAAAAAACTAGAGTGCGGTGGCGCAATCTCGGCTCACTGCAACCTCAAAAAAAAAAAAAAAAAAAATTCTCCTGCCTCAGCCTCCCGAGTTGCTGGGATTACAGAAAAAAAAAAAAAAAAAAAGCTAATTTTTGTATTTTTAGTGGAGATGGGGTTTCCCCAAAAAAAAAAAAAAAAAAAAGAACTCCTGACTTTGTGATCTTCGAACTCCTGACTTTGTAAAAAAAAAAAAAAAAAAACCCAAAGTGCTGGGATTACAGATGTGAGCTACTGCACCCAAAAAAAAAAAAAAAAAAAAAGATTTTCTTCATTTAACCTCGTTTGAGTGTGCCTTTTGTTTTCTGCCAGGCCCTGACCAAGAGAGGGTAGGCTGCATGTTTGTATGTCCTCCAAGAAAAAAAAAAAAAAAAAAAGCCACGTGGTCACCTTCTCAGAGTAAGTGGCAATTTCTGAAAAAAAAAAAAAAAAAAAAGCTGATCTCCCAGCTTGCATCGCTGCCGGGCCCTCCTGAAAAAAAAAAAAAAAAAAATCATTTTCAGGGCTGCTCTATAATTCAGCAAGTCGCTCTCCAGAGCTGCCTGTGCCTAGCTCAGCGGTCTCCCTGGGCCAGTCCTGTCATCTCAGATAAAAAAAAAAAAAAAAAAACAGCCCGAGAGTGACATTCAGTCCTCTCCATCTCCTAAAAAAAAAAAAAAAAAAAAAACCCATCCCAGGCTCCCGTGTCCTGTGAAGTTGTCATGATAAAAAAAAAAAAAAAAAAACTGAACCTGGCATTTTACCATTCACCTGCCATTAGCGTTAAAAAAAAAAAAAAAAAAACTGTCGCTGTCCTGCTTATGAGACAGGGGCTGATGGCAGGTTGAGGAAGGAATCACAGATCATCACAGCCATCCTGTCTTCCACCTGCTGGGTGGCAAAAAAAAAAAAAAAAAAAACTACTGCTAAGTCACAGTACGCCTGGAAGAGTGTTGACGGTGGGCGCTGAGGCTCAGAGAGATGGGATAACCTGCCCAAGGGCACACAGCCGGTGTGGGATGGAGCTCTGGGAGGGCCATGCCAGACATGGGGATGGAGGAAGGGACAGGCTGTTAAAAAAAAAAAAAAAAAAACACGCTATGTTTACCCTGAGTTTGCATTAGGGACACTCCAAAAAAAAAAAAAAAAAAATTTGTTCTGGTCATTCTGTTCCATAGGAGAGAACAGAGAGGCTGTGATTCCTCCCTGAGGGGAGGGTCATCAGCACTGAGAGCTGGGAGCCCAGGCCAAAAAAAAAAAAAAAAAAAGCCCATCCTTCCAGGTGTGAGAAGAGGGGAGACCTGCCAAAAAAAAAAAAAAAAAAAAGAGCCCCGAGGCCTCCCAGCTGCCTGGGGAGCCTGGCGTAAAAAAAAAAAAAAAAAAACTTTTGGGTCTTGGAAAATTCACGCTGCCCTCCAGCACTAAAAAAAAAAAAAAAAAAATGAGGCTACGGTGACAGGTCTGCCAGAAACCATAGTCTTGGGAGCCCCAGGCCCAGGAGGCCTTCCTGGAGGGACAGGAAGCGTGACCTTCACCCGCAAAAAAAAAAAAAAAAAAATGTCTGATCTCATCAGTTCTGAGTGTCTGAGTAAATGGAAAAAAAAAAAAAAAAAAAAAACCCAAAACCAATAAAATCCAAAAGTCATTTCCATTTCAAAAAAAAAAAAAAAAAAACAGCCAGGCTCTGCATTTCTGCCTCTCTGTGTCTGTCTCAAAAAAAAAAAAAAAAAAACCTCTCACCCCCCTCTGTGGCTCAGCGCAGCCCTTCCCTAAAAAAAAAAAAAAAAAAAGCAGATAACCCCCTTACAAACAGTCTCCAGTTGCCTGCCAAAAAAAAAAAAAAAAAAACAGCCCTCCCCATGCATCTCGACCCGAGACCATGCCAGCAAAAAAAAAAAAAAAAAAAACTGCCACAACTGGCATGCCCAGAGCATCTCAGCAATTTAAAAAAAAAAAAAAAAAAACCTGAGCCTCCGTGAATATTCTATCATGTATTTATTTTTAAAAAAAAAAAAAAAAAAACTTGCTGCCGTCTGTAATATGAATCGGGTCAACTGGGTCAAAAAAAAAAAAAAAAAAACTACGAGTACATCCTCATTGCCCAGTGCTGACCGGCAGCAAAAAAAAAAAAAAAAAAAGCCCCAGGGCACCGTCACGCCTGCAGAGCCCAGCAGAGGAAAAAAAAAAAAAAAAAAACAAGAGACTGCCTTCTGGAGTGGCGTCCCTGCCCATCGTCCTCCCTGATGCCATCATGGTGCAGGGCGGTGAGAAGAGAGAACATGCACTCTGTGGCAAAAAAAAAAAAAAAAAAAAATGGCCCCTCTCAGTGAGGGCTGTTCCTATAGCGGAGAAAAAAAAAAAAAAAAAAAAAGCCTTATGGGGATTCAGATGCCCCTGACCTGAGGCCCTAAAAAAAAAAAAAAAAAAAAGTCACTCCCCCTCGTTCCTTGGGCTAGATGACCCCTGAAAAAAAAAAAAAAAAAAAACCCCTTTAGTAACAGTGTAGCTGAGTGGAGCAGGCCCATAAAAAAAAAAAAAAAAAAATAGGAGCCAGACCTCAGGGCAGAGGAGGGGGTGAGGACGACCTCCTGAAGGCCAGGCCAACCTCTCTGCCTCTTCCACTTAGCCTGCGGCTGCCCGGAAAAAAAAAAAAAAAAAAAGCTGTGTGGAGCAAGCGTGAAATGGTGCTGGCAGGAGGCAAAAAAAAAAAAAAAAAAACCACCCCTCTGCTGGGCTAAGTTTAGTTCTGAAGGAACAAAAAAAAAAAAAAAAAAAAGCTCTGACAAGATGGGAAGTGACCCCACAACCAGCCAGGAAAAAAAAAAAAAAAAAAAGGGAAGACCCCAGGGAGAGGGAGGCCCACACAGGCGGCCAAAAAAAAAAAAAAAAAAATCTCTCCATGTGTGACGCTGATCGGTCTTGTCTTAGACTAAAAAAAAAAAAAAAAAAACTGAAGTCCAGGCATGTGTGAAACAGTGCTTGGAAGCAAAAAAAAAAAAAAAAAAAAATGGTCTCCCTACCGGCATTAGGTCTGGACCATGCTAAATAAAAAAAAAAAAAAAAAAACAGTGGCTCACACCTGTAATCCCAACACTTTGGAAGGCTAAAAAAAAAAAAAAAAAAAAGGTTGGGAGTTTGAGACCAGCCTGACCACCATGGAGAAACCCCGTAAATTAGCTGGGTGTGGTGGCGGGTGCCTGTAATCCCAGCTACTCCGAAGGAAAAAAAAAAAAAAAAAAATGAACCTGGGAGGCGGAGGTTGCAATGAGCCGAGATCGCAAAAAAAAAAAAAAAAAAAGGCAACAAGACCGAAACTATTTAAAAAAAAAAAAAAAAAAAAAAAAAAAAAAAAAAAAACCCCAAGACCCAGGGATTCTGATTCACATGTCTGGCATAAAAAAAAAAAAAAAAAAAACCTTTGTGCACATACACACTGGATTCTGGTGAAGTTGGTTTCCCAGGCCAGATTGCACTTGAGAAACACCAGGCCCCATCCTTCCCAGTTATCTTGAAAAAAAAAAAAAAAAAAAGTTTTTCATTGACTTATTTGGATATTATTGTCACCTTCCAAAAAAAAAAAAAAAAAAACAGCAGTTTGCAGTCATGGGGTCTACAGTCCTCTAAAGAAAAAAAAAAAAAAAAAAAACACCTCACTGCTGGGGCCGGCTACCTGGCAGAGTGTGGCTGAGCCCTGTAAGCCTCACTTTCAGAAGGCTGGGTGTGGACAAATCACCCTGTCCTGGAAAAAAAAAAAAAAAAAAAGAGGCAGCACCCTCCCCACCCACTTTCTTTCCCCAGAACAAAAAAAAAAAAAAAAAAAATGCTGCCCCATGCAGAAGTTTCCCGGCTACACACAAGCAAAAAAAAAAAAAAAAAAATTTGCCTCTTCCTGGGTGAGGGCGGCAGTTCTGGCTTCCAAAAAAAAAAAAAAAAAAACATCCCTAAGCCCTGTCCCAGGCCTGAGGGTCCTGCCATAAAAAAAAAAAAAAAAAAAGAGGTTAAGGAGGCCCCACTTTGCCCTGTGTTTACAGCCAAAAAAAAAAAAAAAAAAATGGCACCCGGAAGGCACAGACCAGAATGCCCCCTTGGAGAAAAAAAAAAAAAAAAAAATTGTTTTATTTTCTCTATCCCTTGAAGCCTGGTGGCTTGAAAAAAAAAAAAAAAAAAACAAACGGCATTACACTGTAGACCTGGAGGCTTGAAGAGTAAAAAAAAAAAAAAAAAAAGAAGGCCAGCCCCACTGGGAGAGGGGCGCGTCTCCATGGAAAAAA